TGTGGATGTGCACATGTGGAAGCCAGAACAGAATACTGGATGCTTACTTCTATTGCCTTCTGCTTTATTGACTTGCTTTATGGACTTTATTGAGTCTCTTGCTAAACTGGAACTTCACCTTTTTCATGTGGCTGACTGGCCAACAAGCTCCAAGGATCTGCCTGTCCCTGCCCCCAAAGCTGGGGTTCCAGGCCCATGATACAGATATGATCAGCTTTTTACATGGGGGGCTGAGGATTTGAACTCAGTTCCTGCTGCTTGTGGAGCAAGCACTCTTACCCACTGAACCATTTCCCCAGTCTTCACAGAATTTTGTCGAACGTCTCAGTTCCTGCTGCTTGTGGAGAAAGCACTCTTACCCACTGAACCATTTCCCCAGTCTTCACAGAATTTTGTCGAACGTCTAAATGAAATTAGACATTCAAAGTAATGGCCGATTCTCTTGCGTACAAGCCAGGATCATTTCTGGAGGATGAGGTCTGGCTTTTGGCAGTTGGGAGCCTGTGGGTGGTACCTATGTGTTTGCAGCATTGGTTTTCCTCAAACAGGACAAGGTAGGGCTGGATTAATGACCATTACTGTGTCTAAAGGAGGAAGGAGTCGGGCTCTGCTCAAGACAGGGGCAGGGGGCTCATGATAGTTCATTTCGTAAAGTGTTTTCTGCATAGTACTGAGGACCTGAGTTTGACCTCCCAATACTGAGCACAATGGCTTAGGGTGCCATGACATTACTTAGAAGCCAAACAGATTCTTGGAGCTCACTGGCCAGCAAACCGAGCCAAATGAGTGCATTTCAGGATAGCAAGAGATATTGTCTCAACAATGACCACAACAAAACCAAGGGAGATATGATCTGAAGAATGACTCCTGGGATCGATTTCCGGCCTCTGCATACATGTACACAAATGTACACATGTACAGCCTGCTGCCCACACATGTGTACCTTGACATGTCAGAAAGTGGGTGGAGTGATGGCTGTCAGAAAGCCTGGCACTGCAAGCCTGGAACTCTTAGAAGATAAAGAGAGTCATGGCCTGTCTTAGTTAGGGTTTTACTGCTGTGAACAAACACCATGACCAAGACAATTCTTGTAAAGCCAATATTTAATTAGGGCTGGCTTACAGGTTCAGAGGTTCAGTCCATTATCATCGAGGTGGGAACATGGCAGCATCCAGGCAGGCATGGTACAGGAGGAGCTGAGAGTTCTACATCTTCATGTGAAGGCTGCTAGAAGACTGACTTCCAGGTAGCTAGGGTGAGGGTCTTAAAGCTCACTCCCACAGTGACACACCTACTCCAACAAGGCTACACCTCCTAATAGTGCCACTACCTGGGCAAAGCATATACAAGCCATTGCATGGCCTTTCTCTTGGACCACGTAAACTATGAGCATAGAGCTGGCTTCGGAACATGGCTCTGAACGTAGTAGTAGGCTGTCTCTACAAGGAAGGCCAGCCTGCAAGAGCATAGGCCCCTACCTTGTGAAGCTAAGAACTTGTGGATTCTGCTTACCAAAACGATATAAGAGAGAAAGAAAGGAAAAATGAAAGGGGTAAAAAGCAGTGGTTAATTTCTAGTTACAGAGGACAGTGGGCTATCTCCGTGTGTGGCTAAGAAGAACAGAGCATGCGGGATGGGGGTGGAGGGGCAGCTATTGAGAAAGCAGACATGCCTGAGCTTTCAAATGTGCAAGTGAGTGAGGGGAAGGAGTCACAAGGGCAAAGCCCATTATGGGGAAAACCAGGCTGAAACAGAAGAAGAGAAACAGTGCAAATTGGAGAGGATTGAGTTTACAGGAAATCGACACTTGGCATTCTGTGGAAACTGCTGCTTTGGATTTAGACACAGCAGAACTGTAAATGTGGATACGGTGTAAATACCGTCCATAATTCAAAAAGCCTGGAAGCTTCAAATGAGATAATCTTTCTGAGATAAAAAGACATTGGAGAGCTCCAGTGTCAGAGCTCCAGAGCTGGTGGGGACAGGGGAAGAGAGAAATCCCAAGTCTTCTCCTTGGCTTCTGGGTCCTGGGACAGCAAAGTGACAATAACTGTTCTCTTCCAGGAATTTCTGAGGGCTCTGATATTTAATATTGATTGACAACTTGACTGGATTTAGAATTACCTAGAAGACAGACTTCTGGGCATGTCTGTGATGGTGTTTCCATAGAGGAAGGAAGCGCGACCCTGACATGTGTGGCAGTGCCTCATGGACTGGGGCCTGGGTTTAATAAAATGGATAAAGGAAAAAGGAAGTTGACCTCACCTTGCTTCTGACTGCAGATACACTATGAGCAGGGGCCTTGAGCCCCTGCCCCATGCCATCTGTCGAGATGGATGGTACCCTCAAATTGTGAGTCAAAATCAACCTTTCCTTTATTAAGAGTTGCTATTGATATCATTTGTCACTGCAGTCCAAAACTGCCTGTCACTGACTGTGTAAGTCTCCTTGGACTGATAGCAATAAAAAGCCCCCAGCTCGGTGACTTAAAATTATGGGACATCTCTCATAGTTCTGGAAGACAGACCATTTAGAAATTAAGCCTTTCCTTCCATTGTCCTGTTTCTGGAAAGCCTTGGCTGTGGCTGTGGCTGTGGCTGTGGCTGTGGCTGTGGCTGTGGCTGTGGCTGTGGCTGTGGCTGAGGCTGAGGCTGTGGCTGAGGCTGTGGCTGTGGCTGAGGCTGTGGCTGTGGCTGTGGCTGTGGCTGTGGCTGAGGCTGAGGCTGTGGCTGTGGCTGAGGCTGAGGCTGTGGCTGTGGCTGTGGCTGAGGCTGTGGCTGAGGCTGAGGCTGAGGCTGTGGCTGTGGCTGTGGCTGTGGCTGTGACTGAGGCTGTGGCTGTGGCTGTGGCTGAGGCTGTGGCTGTGGCTGTGGCTGAGGCTGTGGCTGTGGCTGTGGCTGTGGCTGAGGCTGAGGCTGTGGCTGTGGCTGAGGCTGTGGTTGTGACTGAGGCTAAGGTTGCCACACTCCACTTCTATTTCCACATGGCCATCCATCCCACGTCTTTCTGCCCTCTCATCTTTTTATGAAGACAGTACTCATTGGATTTAGGGACAACACTAAGTACACGATGATCTCTTCTTGAGATCCTTAGCTAATCTCATCTACAGAGACCTCATTTCCAAACATGATCATGTTCTGAGGTCCAGATGGGCAGGTGGATGCAGACACGCCTTTTGAGGGAAGGGGCATCATTCAACCAACTACAGCATCCAAACCATAATGAAGAGAGGTCACTAGTATGCTCAAAATATTTTCCACTTACTATATTGTCTCTTGTCTCTTTATAGGGCTTCTAACGTCCCTCTAGCCACTCTCATTGTCCATGGAATACAAATAGACACACAGACTGGCATTGCAGGTTCTAGCTTCTTCTCTTGACCTCTGGCCTTAGCCTTTTCCCAGCTTCCCAGCTCCCTATACTCTGTGACCTTAGATCTAGTTGAAATTTTTCTAGAAACATTCTTAGAGGATAAGCTCCTATCCGGGCACCTGCATAGGTGAGCTTCATAGGGTGAGCTTCTTCTGCTGCCTGTTAACCAGCTCTTTCCATTTCCTTCAGTTAAACCAGCCTCCTGTCTGCTGATTTGCCTGACTGCCACTTGGATCCCTCCCTCCTGCACTATTTGGCACAGGAGACTGTGGTCGCAGTGACCTGGTGCCTCACACTTTTGTCTTTCTGCCGTGGTAGACTGTGTTCTCAAACTGTAAGTCAATAAATCCTTCCTTCCACCCTGAACTCTGTCAAGGATCCCGTTGAACCTCCAGACTTTTGTCCTACACTTAGCACAAATGCATCTCACTAGCTGGGACAGGCATACTCCCTTCCAACTAAGCTGCTTCTTTCCTCACCTCCCTCTCTCTCTCTCTCTCTCTCTCTCTCTCTCTCTCTCTCTCTCTCTCTCTCTCTCTCTCTCTCTCTCTCTGACCCAAAACCACATTTGTTCTGAACTCCAAGACTATCTGGTATCTTCCTGTGGTCCACTGTGGATTATCAACTGGTCCGTTCATGAAGATTCATGGGGCATTTCCTCTGTTTTGTTTGGTCTCAGAGCCCAGGGATCTAGCCCATCCCCCCTCCCATCAAGGGAACAATGCTCTCCCCATCCTCCCCCATGCTCTCCCTTACCCCTTCCCTTTGAGGATCTCACAGCAACATTTCAGGTCCTGCATGCTCCCCTTCAGATACCTCAGCAAATCTTTAATGGAAGATGCTGTGCAAGGAACTGAAACATCTGTGAGCGTAAATGTGAGGTGCTGAGACCCCACCATAGGACAAGCAGGCCCTAGGTCTGCAGTTGATGGCAGGAAGGAAGGACCATGAAGAGGAGGGAGCCAGGCTTTCAGAAGTTCTTCCCTACCTCCCCACACTCAAGGCAAAGAGAGTACAAAGAATTAATTAGGTCTGTGGCGTTCACCAGATTTTGACTGTCCTTGCCCTCCTCATGCTTCTTGTCAGCCCTTGCAAAGCTTTTTGGGGACTACAAAGAAGTGGGAATATAGCCGGGCGGTGGTGGCGCATGCCTTTAATCCCAGCACTTGGGAGGCAGAGGCAGGCGGATTTCTGAGTTCGAGGCCAGCCTGGTCTACAGAGTGAGTTCCAGGACAGCCAGACTACACAGAGAAACCTTGTCTCGAAAAAACAAACAAACAAACAAACAAACAAACAAACAAAAGAAGTGGGAATATATGACACAAATGGGGTTACGTGTCTCGAGAAAATGCCCAGCACCAAAACTCTTCCCAGGCCATGCCTTCTGCTGTGCAATAAGGCCGTTTTCCAAAGCCAGCTAGGTCCTGCCTCTGAGTCATCAACAACACACTCTTTTCTCTCCTACTCTACAGGCAGCATGTCCTGCACCCTCCCTTCTGAGTCAGGAGGATGAGAGGGGGTGAGAAAATAACAAGAAGCTTCTCTGGTCTGATGCCATGGGCAAACCAGAAGTGCACCACTTGGCATGAGGCAGACCCCGCCCCAACATCCCTAGAAGGATCACTCACCAGCATTGTTCTGCTGTTTGGTGTTTTTGATGTAGGCTGAGAACTTGGAGAAGATGTCAATACCTGCAGTGTTAGATTCTCGGTGTCTTGCAGCCAGTTTGGGGTACCTGGAAGGGAAGTCACAGTTATCTACGAAGCTAGAGGAAAAAGACTCTTCAGTGGCCATCCTGTCTGCATCACAGGGAATGGCATATCCTTCTCTGGCTGAAGCTACCATCTTTTGGAATTTAACAGTCATCCCATGGGGAGGGTGGACACGCAACCCTCAGTCATAATCAAGGAAATCAGAGGCCAGTGAGGTGCTGAGAGACTTAACTAGAGTGATTCAGTCTGTTGGGCAAGGAACCAAGGTGCCACCCATAGACCTCTTCCTGGAACGGCAGAGGAGAGACAGCAACACAGGGATGGCCTCTGGGTCAGGTGGGGTTCCTGATATATCCCTTGAACTTATGAAACTGCCTGTCTACTCCACACACAATCTACACCACCACAGTCCTAGCTGCCCAGAGCTAGTGGATTCATGAGTCCTCAGCTCCAAGGCCCTAAATCATTTCTCCAAAGGAAGAGTGTTCCCTGTGTGCTTCTAAACTGTCTCTCTGATGCTTATTACATGTGTGGGGTAAGAGTAACTTAACCCTCAGGGCATGTGTTTTTTATCACTTGGATTTCCAAGTGTGGATGGAGATTTACAATGATCCCACTCCGTCCCTTGCACTGTTTATCATTTCGAAGTGGAAAAAAAAATGCAAGAGGTAGACCAGGCTTAGGATCCTTGGTGTTGAAACTGAATGAGGAGTAAGCTCACATGTGTGGAACTCCTTGGATTTACTTGACACCATCATCACATGAGTAATGCTAATTATTCATTGAATAAAGGAATTCTTAATATTCATTTAATCAAAGAATTCTTTTTCCAAGACCATTATGTACATGGCCAGGCAAACATGTGTATAAATGAGGGAGATGGACAATTTATCATTATTAACAAGTGTGGGGCTTTGTGATCTGGAGGGGAGAGTTTTACTGTATGTGTCTGAGTTGTTCTGTCTATTAATCAAAATTCTTTTCTTCAGATTTTATGTTTTTAACCACAATGAAGTCTTTAAGAATCATGTGCTGTGGGGTTTGTGAGATAGTCCAGCCAGTAAAGATGTCGAGAAAAGGCCTGAATTTGACTCCTACAATCTATGTCAGAAGGTGAGGATATTAGCATGCTGGTAATCCCAGGCCTGAAGCAGTGAGCCAGGGGGATCTCTGGGGTCCAATGGCCAGCATGAATAGACTAATTCATGAATTTTATACTGGGGAGACACAGGCTTGAAAGACAAGAGAAGAGGTGACACCTGAGGAACGCCACTCAGGTTGACCTTGGCCTCCATACACATATGCACACATGTGCACACACCTGCATGTGTGCACACATGCCCAGAAATCATTTGTTACTATTCTTTCACTTCTTCAATGATCTCATTAGCTAGGACTGTCCCACTCATGAAGCCATGGCAGGCTATCTGTTTTATTTTTGTGTTTGATTGATGGATGATTGATTTTGCCATGACAGGTTTAATATCAGAAATGCTGTCCTTGGAAAAGTCCTCAGGAATGTATTGGTCCCAGCTCTCCATCACAACCACAGGTACTTAGAAGGAGCTACTGCTCCCGTTTTATAGCAAAGGCTATTGGAGACCCAAGGTAAACAATCATTTAAGGACCTAAGAAACTGGCTTTGAGACTGTGAAGCAGTGTATGGCCTTCCTACTTGATGCTCTCGTGATGGGAAAACTACCTTGCACTGAGTGTTCTCAGTCACTGTGTTCTAGACATGGTCCTGAGCCTCCTAAGTAACTGTGTCTAATGTGTGAAGAAGAGTAGGCTTGATCTGGGAAGCATCTGTCTTAGCTTCTTATGTCCTGGCATTACAGATGGTTGCCTTGCCTGCCTGGCTTTTAAGTGGGCTCTGATGCTCTGAACTTTGGAATTCACACTTGGTGTGAGTTCCTCTCCTTCTCCATAATTCCTGCATCTTCACTTCACCAGCCACTCCGCAAGAGGCGGGTTGACTCACGCTTCTAACTATTCTGATCCTTAACTGTGCACCTAGCTGTCGTGACTATGCTTTTCAAGAATAAGAGCCTTGAAGTCTGGCTTATTCATGAAAGTCCATCTCTCCCAGTTTGTGGTTTAAGATCTAAGGTCACTCGTTGTACTTACAACTATACACCAGACAGCCACAGAACTGGTGGGAATTATTTCTCATTCTTTACCATTTAATGAGTCTTCCCTTTGTAAAGCATTGGGCTATGCAGGAGTGTCTTCTACACTGGCCCTGTAAGATCAACATTACAGCCCTCCATTTTGAGGTCTGGGTACATGTAGCCATTTGCTCCAAATCAAAAAAAAAAAAAAACATTCCTTCCTGGAGTGAGGAGGAAATCTCGTAAGATTCCAGAAGCTTGGGAGGTTACAGGATCCATAAAACTCCTCCCTAAGGTTACCTGGGGAAGAGTAAGTTCCTCAATGGAACTGGCCTCAAGTTGTGCAGAAGTTCCAGGATGCAGTGGTTACCCAGGAGTGATTTCATAAGTAGCAACCATATTTGGATTGACCTTTGAGTTTCCCATTCCCCTATAAATAATCCCAATAATCTCATTGGTTCACCAAGCTCCACTTTGGTGGAATCATTTCCCTGGCCTGCTGAGGGGCCTACCTGGGCTGAAAAGACATTTGCTCACATTGCCTCACAAAACATCACATAGCCCTTGTGAACCAAGATCAGAGAAGTACTTTTCTGATTGTTTTGTTTTAAATTCGCCTGTAGCAGCAACCATGCCCACTGACTGAACATCCATGAGCTTCTGTACATTTCCTAGCCAGCCACTCTGGAGTCACATGACTAGATTCAAGCCAATGGAATGGTGTGTGTGTGTGTGTGTGTGTGTGTGTGTGTGTGTGTGTGCGTGTGCGTGATGTAACTCCTCGTTGTTCTGGCCCTTGAAAGCACTGTGTGTGCCCTCCTTTTGTTTTTATCTGTTGTTGGAGTTGCTGTATGCACAGCTACAAGGTGGAGGAGAGCCACAGTATCCACTGAGACTCTGCCTAAGTGGCACATGCCCTTGCCGTGTCAGGCCACAGTGCCACATGTTACTACAGGAGCACACCATCTGGCAGCAGAGACCTGAAGCCAAGGCATGAACTTTAGAACCCAAGTTCAACCAGTGCAGCGTCATGTGGGAGCTTCTGAAACTGTCTCCACATGTCAGGGGGGCAGGAGAACACAATTCTGTTCTACTGATGTAAGAGATCTGTATACAGCATTTAAATATAAAACAACGTATTCTCAGTGCTTGGATTCTGAGCCTCAGTGTATGCCTGCCACCTGACTGATGCCACAGCACACCATGTAACCAGCCTGTTTTCGATTAGCCTCCGGGATTCTAATTTTTCTTCCTTCTATTATTTGTGTGTGCATGTGGTATGCTTGCATGCATGTTTTTGCATGTGGTGTGTGTGAGAGGGTGTTTACATATGTGTACATGCATACAGGAGGACCTTCGAAGTTGATGTTTGGAATCGTCCTTCATCAGACTGCACCTCCTTCTCATTTGCTGAGCTGGGGTCTCCCAGTCAAATCCAGAGCTCTCCAGTATGGTTAGTCTAGCTGTCCAGCTTGCTCTGGGGGATCCCCTACTTCTGCCTCCCAATGGCAAAATTACAGATAGGTTGCCATGCCCACTAGCAGTTACATGAGTTTCTAAACTCTGGTCTTAGTGCTTGCATGGCAAAACTTAAATGCTGAGTCATCTCACTGGTCCCCCACCCCCTGAATTCTTATCCTAACTTCTATGCCCCCCTCAGATTATTTTATAACAGCTAGCCTTGTGTAAAGTCCTCTGAGAAACTCATGCAGTCCCAGATTTGGGTCTGGAAGGGATCTTGGAGAACACTGGTTGGTATCAAACAAGAAAGGAGGGAGCCTTGTCTAAAGTCACGCAGGATGTAGAGTTGATGAGCATGCTTCTCTGTTCTGAATCCTAGCAACTCTGGTCATGGGATGGAGACCACAGGCAAGGGATAGGCATATCTCAATAAATAACTGTATGTGCTTTTAGACTTTCTTCCAGCACTAATGGGGCCAGTCCACAGAAAAGAAGGGTCTCATTTAGAAATTACTTGAGATTTCCTGCACTCTTCATCTTGACACCAAATGCTCTTTAGAACCAAATGTAATTTTTTTAAGTGTTGGAGTATTTGAATGTGATTTCTTCTCCTTTAAAAAACAAAGCTGAAAGAGAAAAATCTTAGCTCTCTGGAAGTTTTTTTTACAAACAGTGTCATGATAAGAAACACATGGCCTCCTTGCAACATCAAGAAACAGGGAGTTCTGCTGCCCCCTGGAGAAGCATAAGGCCGGTGACACTATTCCATGGGCCAGAGTTAATGGGGGGATTGACTAAGCTGGTGACTTGGGAACAGACTGGTAAGGACTCTGAGCCTGGAGCTGAGACATTGGCTTGGTGCTATTTACTGGTCTGTAACTAGAGCACTTGCCCCCACCTGATGGCCACAGAGACATCTGAGGACACTCTGTGAATAGCATCCTGAGCAGTTGATAATCTCCTTCCTTTAGGAGACCTCTAAAGTCTTTCATTTAATGAGCTTGAGGACCTGCTACCTAAATGGTCAGGTCACTAGCCTGGCAGAAGTGGCCTCCATCACACCTCCTACACTTAACTGATGTCCAGAAGAGACCCAGGCCGGAAACAGTGTGCTCAAAACCAATATAGCATGATGGAACAGGGTGGAAAATCTAGAAAGGCCCTGTATAACACTGCAAGACCCTGCTCGAACCGTGGGAACTTTACAACCTGATTAAAAAGACAATGGACCTGATAATGACTTTGTTCAAGAAGACTGTCCACAAAGTGTGAAATCTATGATCCCAGCATCTTTATGTCCCTTTCGTCTCATTGGGGACACAGACAGAGATGATGAGAGCTGGGGGGCTCGGCCAGCCTGAGTGTCAAGGACTAGGACAGGAAACAGTCTAGGATAGGGGGCGTTCTTTCACAGAGGAGGCCTGAAGCCAAGAGCAGAGATAGGAAGAGTCAAGATGACACATTTGTTCCCTGGCAGAGCAAGCAGTGTATTCCATCTATCAGCTTGGCAGAAGACCATGTGAACAGCCCTACCCCTCATCTGCGTTGCTTTCCTGTCCTCCTGGCCAGACTGTGTGGAAGTAGACACTCCTGAACGGGAGGATTTGTTCCAAGGAGACAACGTTCACCTATCCAGGCAACGTCAGGACTCTGTCCGAGTTAGTGAAAACAGGTTTTCATGTGGGGTTTGCAACTAGTACAAGCAACAAATGAGGTTGAGTCCCAGGAGAATAAGAAGGAGTGAGAAGTCAGCCCCTTTGGGACACGTCCATCCAAGAAGTTAGCTGGTGTTCTGTTCAAAGACGCACACGGCTTCTGGCTGTGGGCTGTCGGACCATGTGTGTGGCTGTGCTGTTGATTGAACTAGTTCCCTCATTGAAAGTCTATACCCAGCAGCTTCCAATGGGCTGTAGGCCACTTCCCTCTCAGTGTGAAAATGACCCGCTCTAACACAGTGGCAATGGATGTTCTTAAGGGAGCGTGTGTCCTTGCTTAGGGCTTTATCAGGGCAGTGCAGACAAGTAATCTTCCAACAGTAGGGCATCGTTGGTTACCATGGGCTGTCCCACTGTGCCAGGCTATAAAACAAAACTAAGGACAGCCCCTCCTCCCAGGTGCCAGGGCTGATGAGAGGGTGACGTGCCTCACAGAACTCGGTGCCTGACATAACCTGAGAGCTACATTTGCTGACAGGTAAACAGAACGTGGAGATAAACACAGAAAGATGACTGGTACTCCAACTCTCCTTACCTTACCTCTCTCCTCACTCCTCTCCCTTGGCTGAGCCCATCCTTCCATCTTGCCTAAACTGCCCCCTGTTAGCTCCTCCTACCCGATTCTGAACCAATAGTCTGTTTGCTATGGTTGTTTTCTTTTAGATAAGATCTCATGCACCCAAGGCTAGACAAAAATCTTATGTATCTCAGACAAGACAAAAAATATACATGTATCCCAGGCTAGTCTTGAACTTCCTACACTCCAAAGAGGAACTTCAAATTTCCTTGACTCTACCTTCTGAGTTCTGAGAATGCAGGCATGGGCCAAAACACTTGGCTTATGTGTTGCTGAGGATGGAACTCAGGGCTTTTCATGTGACAGATAAGCACCATGCCAACCAAGCTACATCCTCAACCCTTTACAAGGCTTCCTTTCCCAGCAGCCAGGGAAAGTCTTACAGCCGACTCTCCAGGTTGTCTGATAAAGATCTTCCCCTGACTATCTTGCAGCACTGAGCTCATACCTGACTCTGTCAACAATGCCAGGTCTCTGTTTAACAGTGAAGAATGGTCGTTTTAATCTCTGACTACTATATTCTGCAACGAATGATCTCAGACTCAGCCATCTTTAGACTGTGTCTCTTACCTACACTTGCTGTATCAGCAGTAGCTAATCTGTCCCTGTGAGAACTCTCAACTCCTGAACCTGCCAGGCCCAGTCAGTGTTTGTATGTTTATCTGTCACTTGCTCAGATTTATGGCTCCTGGTGTGGTCTCAGGCACCAGATGTCCCTTTCCTGGTTTGTTGTCATTATATCAGCCTTTTATGCTGTCACTGAAGATGGAGTTTGGAGTTTGCATCATCTCAAGTTTTTCAAGGTATAGTAAATTAAGAGTCAGGGAGAGAAAGAGAGAGAGAGAGAGAGAGAGAGAGAGAGAGAGAGAGGGAGAGAGAGAGGGAGGAGAGGGGAGAGGAAAAGGGGGTGGGAGGAAGGAAGAGAAGGAGGGGAGGAGAGAGAGAGAGAGAGAGAGATCTTCCCAAAGCCCCTAAAGTCACTCTGTATAGGAACTGACTGGCAATACCTATGGGTAACCGGCCTTAGTGCACCCACTTTGAGACTGGGATTCCATTTTTCTAAAAATAGAGCCCCTGCTTCAAACTGAAGCAGCCCCGTTGGAAATCTGCCTCCCACATCTAACTCTCTCCCTTTCTGAAGCTCTGCAAAGGATCAGCTCATTACTTCTCAGGGGTCAGCGTCTCCTCCAGAAACTCTTCAATCTTGTTGACATCTGTCTTCACATCCCCATTGAAGGTCAGGAAGGGCGGGTGTGTGCCAGGAGCCAGGTTGTGTAGATCGGCTGGTTTTCTGTGGAGAGAGTAAGATTCTGGTGATGGTGTGAACCAGGGGCCCTCCTGTTCTGAGAAGCCTATGACTTTCATTCTGGGATGGGGTTAATCAACATGCCAGTAGCAACCATTTGTTGCTACTAGGTGTAAGACAGTAGAAGCTGTAGAGGCTGTGTGGGCTTGTGATATGACACAGAAAACTCATTCAGGGGAGGAAAATGGCAAGGGGCCTCACAAGATGAAGCTGAACATAACAGAAAAGTCCAGAGAGGATCATGGTGAGGATCTAAATTAGCTTCTGGGTTTAACTTCACAGGGCTGTGCTTCCAGTTACTGAGCTCACTAATCGTTCCAACAAAACACACAGTTTCAGGCTTGACAGATTAACACAGTGGGCTGAAGAAATAGCTCAGTGGTTAGGGATACTTCCTACTTTTCCAGACGTCCTGAGTTCAGCTGTTAAATGAAGTCAGTATGTTCAAGAAGCATTATTGTTCCATTTAACCATGGGCCCTGGTGAAAACTCAGGGGGTTCGGTCCAAGAGGCCTACATTCTGTATTGCAGATCAGGAAACCGTGGGGAGGCTGTGGCCAAGGACTCTACATCAAGAATTATGAGTAGAGTTTGGTGGTCCATCCACTCCTGCTATCCCAGCACTTGGAAGGCTAAAGGAGGGTGATTGCCACTGTTATGATGCCAGCTTGGGCTTGGGCCATCTTGGAACATTGTCTCAAAAATTAATCAGTCAAACAGACAAAGTACACAACACCCACTTTCAGTTTCCAAAACCCACATGGCAGCTAATAGCTCAGAACTGCCTGTAATTCCAGTTCCAGGAGGACCAATGCCCTCTTCTGGCCTCTTCAGGTACTGCACACCCATGATGGACAGACACACACGCAGGCAAAGCAGCCATACATGTATAATAAAACTTTAAATTAAAAAAGTATCAACTTTAACTGTGAAATTAGAAATTAGAAGTTAGTCTGATATTGATAGACACTCCAACCCAATTATGAAAGTTCGTGATTTCCACTGAATGTTGGAGACCAGTAGCAGCTATCCTACTGGTAACCGGTTAATAATCCACTATATTTCACCTTTTACTGTTTCTAATCTTAATTTGAGTACCATATTTTTTTAAAAAATATAACTATTATGATTTTACGTTTAGTAAAAATTAGTAGTTTTGTGAAGGATTTTTAAAATTACATTCAATATACGTAAATTGAAGCTCTCCCGAGTCAGAAATGGAATCTTTTACAACAAAGTTTTGAGGACATTTAAGGGTTATTTCAAATTATAAATGATCCAATTCCAAGGAATTACAACTTCACTTCACGTATCTAGGAGGATATGAGTAAATTCAGCATGTATTTAGGAAAGCAGTTTCCGTTTGTCTCAGGTTTTCCTGGGACCAGTAAAACCTTAGAGGTGAAGGGTGCTTAGCCAAACTCAGTCCTTCTGAAGAGAGAACACAGGCCCGTGTGTCCCAACTAAGACAGGAAGATCTTAAGTTCAAGGCCAGCCTGAACTCTAGAGTAAACTCAGGTTTAGTCTGGGAAAATCAGCAAGAGCTTCATAAAAACAGAAAGTATAAAGAGAGAAAGAGAGCCGGGATATAGCAAGCACTTGCCTAGTATGTGTGAAACCCTGGGCTCATCCCCAACTCCATACCAAACATAAAGAAGAAAGAAAGTCTCTTGGTATGTTGCTCACAGTCATTCTTAAATCTAAGATAACCCAGTGTCAGGAACCTCACCACCTTTGCTGCACACATGGAGGAGATCACACACATTGGGGACAGGGAGATGCTGAGGTCCCCACGATCCAGAGAGGCAGGGGAAGATGTTGGGGAAGAGTGCAGCAATGTGGAGCACGTATCCAGTGAATGAACAAGTAATCAATCAAACCTCGTAGAGTCTTCCCTCAGCAGTGCCCAGCGTGGTCTCCGTTGGTGCTGGATACTTGGTATATTGACTGCCACTGGGGAGGTATGTGTGGGGACAGCACCAAGACGGACATGGATCTGTTAGTGCCAATGATGGGGTGTGCTTCTGAAGTTCCTCCTGCCAGGTGGTTGGATTCCAGAGCAAAGGTTGACGGGAGGGGAAGGAGGCTTGGCAACAGAGACTCAGGCTGTACTGAGGAAGAAGGGTGGGGCTCATGGCAGGAGTCTCAGGGCAGCCATGAATGTTTCCATTACCCTGGATGTTCTCTGCGTTTGCAACATTCTTTGTGGCCATCGGAGCAGAAAATATGAGATTAGGAAACTGTAAAATGTCAACAAGAGGGGCAGAGGCTTCTGTGAGGAGACAAATTCCTGGTCTAATCAGTTAGGGAGGGGACGAGAAGAATTTCAATGACAGTGCTGCTCCCAAGTCACTCCCAACAGGCTGTTCTCCAGCCTCATTCTGTGACACTTGGGAACACGGACAACAGAGACTGCAAGTATTTTTAAAATCTAATTTACTTAGTGCCTTTGTTGACTCTGTGTGATCCTCCCCTCAAATAAAGAGAGGACATTCTTTGCCGGCTCCTCCTGTTTTGTAACTGACACCGGCCAGGAAGGAAGTCCTCACTGATTTTATTTTGGAGCAGTTACTGTGGATTAAAGATACAGCGGTCTGTTGGTCTGTTGTCAGGGTGGTGGTGGGGTTTCGTTGGCTGCTGGGTTCTGACACCATAGGGACATGTCACTTCTGGCTCCTGAAGCTTACCTGGACATTGTCAAAGGCATGGTGGCCAGTGCCACTCCTTCCCCTCTGAGTCAACCCCCAACCCAACACTTGGAATTGAAATGACAGAATTCCCTATTTCCAGATTTGATTTGTGAATTATTTCATGGGCCTCATTCTTTCTTTAGCTCCCTGATTGACAGATCCATGAGGGCCGCTGGGTTTCAAGTTCTTGGAGCAAGCCAAGTAGAATCCTAAACATAAATCCATGGCCTACCTCCTTAAACCCCTAACAGCACTTCCATGGATTAAAAACACACCACTTTTTAATCATCATGGGACAGATGAAGAAACTGAGGCTCAGAAAATTCCAAGTCCCTCAGCCGATCAATGGCGGTGCTGCAATAAGAGATCAATTTTCTTAGGAATTGTGTGTGTGTGTGTGTGTGTGTGTGTGTGTGTGTGTGTGTAGTGCTGTAAACTAGGGTGATGCTAGCCTTAGAGGGGTGTCAGCAGGACTGGATCTGATAATGTGTGAGAGAGAAACAGAAGCATTCATAAGATGCCGGAGGGACTCTCTTACCCCAGCTGGGAACTCTAGTGAGCTCCTACGGGTAAGAATTGAAAGACTCTGGTTTCTGTAGAAGGCAGTTCCTTCCTTACCCAGGCTCTGAAATCCTGCTCTTTTTAGTTGTTCCAGACACTGGTTGCATGGCAGATACATGCTCCCTCACGGCACTAAGACCAATGCCAGACACTAAGATTTCAGCAACAGCCCCTCCTATTTCCAGCCGGTAAGGGTCCTCAGTGGGTCTGTCTCAGCTTCCTTGTAGAATATGGAGTATTGGAGTTATCCTTATGAAGTACATATTGCAGGATTTTGCAGGGGAAAGCCAACAGCAGTTATAAAGCATTGGGCTGTAAATGTTACAACTAGGTAAAACGCTAAAGGACGACTGTGCCTAAGGAAGCCCAGATCATAGCTAGGTGACGAGTTTAAACGGGGGCCACTCCCGAGAGTGTTGAGGTAGAGGACTTAACAAGAAGTTGGGGCTGAAGCTGAGCCTGGAGGCAGGGTACTCTGAAGTTCTGAGGAATGAGAAGAAGCCTCTTATCAAGAGCTGCTAGGAACAAGAGCACCCTTGAGGAGAGACAGGGCACAGGGAGAAGCATTAGGAGAACTGAACAGAGCATAGGCTGCTTTGGAAGGAAGCATTTCCACCATGGGCTGGGG